CATTTTAAATCTGACGATTGATCGATATCAATATTTAAACCAGAATAAATTTCTAATCTCTGTGGGTACAATATTAAATCAAAGGTTAATATTTTATGCATTTCATGCCATACTGGATGTAGCTTGGTTCTATTAGATGTTCTTCCTACATCTTTAATAAAGGATGAAATAAATAAATGTAATCTTTCTCTAAATGATGAAATATCTCTTACTTCATTTTTTTTTGAACCTGAAATATAAATTGGATCTACATCATAAACTTCCCACAACAACTTTTTTAAATTTCAGATTAATATTAATAAATAATAATAAAAATTTAAAAATAAAATAATTTTTTTTTACTTACATCAATATTTTTAATAAATGAAATATAAATTAACATACATTCATAGTATATATTAATATTATATTCAATATATTCTAATGATGAAAAAAATATTAATAATTCTTGAATTTTCTTTTCCATTATATTAACATTTTCTGTTAAAATATTTCTTAAATTCATTGTTTTCTTTTTATCACATTCTAAATATGTTTGTTTATCCTTTAAAATAAATTCTTTTAATTCATTTGAGCATTTATAAACTTCCATCATTAATTCATTACAATTTTTTTTCCAAACATTTGAACATTTGTTATTTTCACCCAACATTTCATCAATAATATTCTCCAATTGTTCTTTGGTTATCTTTGTATCTTTAGGTTTTTCAAAAAATATTGTATAAAAACCCCTGTTGCATTAAAATAATTATTAATATTTTTTTTTTTTTAATAAAATATTGGTATTTTTATTAAAAATACATACTCTATTAATGGTCTTAAATTTGCAATACAATTTCTAAAATATAATTAGTTTTAAAATAATTAGTTTTTTTTTTAATTTTATTTAAATTTTTAATTGATATTTACAAAACATATGTCATATCATTATTAATATCTTGAAAAGTTCTTTGTGGCCCATAAACCATTGAAAATGGATCGAATGCATTATTTGGGTAACCAAGTTGTTCAAAAACCAATGAGTTATTTGGAAAACCTTCAGATTTATTATTATTATTTAAGACATTATTATTATTAATAGTATTCATTTTTCTTTAAAAAAAAAATATATAAATAGTATTATTAAAAATTATAATTTTTATAAATATTAAATATTAAATTATTATTTGTATGAATATTAAACATATAAATATAAATGAATAGTGTGTTGAAGTTAAACCCCAAATAATTAAAAATTTAAATAAAAAAATATAAAAAAATAATTATTAAAAAATTAATATTTTTTTTTTGTAAATTTATATTGGGGTTATAAAAATAAAAATAATTTCCAAAGAATGCAATATTTTTTAATAATAAAAAATATTTTACATCAATGAACTAGTTGTTTAAATAAATCTAGATATACAAAAATAATAGAAAAATAAAAAAATTGAAAAAAAAAAAAAAAAATAGTTTTAAATTTAAAGTTATATTTATTAATATTTATATATTAATAAAGTTAAATAAATATTTTTTATTTTTTATATTTTTTTAATTAAAAAAATTTAAATTAATAAATTTCTTTTGTTGATTTTTCAAATGGATTAATTGTAATTTGATCTCTGCACATTTGAGTTCCTGGTATATTAATTACATTCCAATTTTGAAGTTTGTCTTCATTTTCATCTAAATCATCTTTAGAATTAATTGATATTTGATGTGGTAAAGGTGACTGAATACCATTATTAATACTATTATTTATTAAACCATTACTTGAATTAAATATGGTTTTATTATCAGTAATAAAATCGAGGTTGTCTGAGGAATATTTTATATTTGAATGAGATGATGATAATACTGGTACTAATGGTATATCTTCAATAGCGGTATTACATCCTAATGAAGATGAAGAAGAAGAGGATGATGTGTAAAAAGTATTATTATCTAATAATGATTGGCTGGCATTTAATGAATTTTGTGGTTGAATATTGTTATTACTAGATTTAATTGGAATTGGTCTTATTATATTTGTATAGCATGGACTTTCATTTGTAAATGTAGAAACTATATTATTATTTGCTATATCTACTAAATTAGTATGTGAAGAGTTCATAGAGTTTAATGATGAGTTTGAAATTTGTGAAATTGTTGTTTGTGATGAATTGATTAGTTTGTTTGGTGATGGTGTTTGTCTTCTTTTACTCATACTAGTGGTTGATGATGATGTAGATGAAACTGATGATGATGATGATATATTATTATAGTTGCTATTATAGTTATTATTATTGTTGTTATAATTTATTTTAGATGAAAATTGACTATTTTGATGAGGAATGTTGTTGCTATTGTTTTGATATTTATTTGGAGTTGGTTTTGAATTATCTAAAGAATTTGTATATGAATGTCTCGATCTAGGTTTTGGAATATGATTCGAATTTGATAAAAACAATGGCTTTTCTGGATATGTTGGGGTTGGGGGCAATTGAACAGAAAGATCAGAAAAGTTATTATTATGGTGGTATTGATGATGGTGGCGGTGACTATTAAGTGTTGACTCTGATTTTGGTTTTGGTGATGGGGTTCTAATTCTCCATGATCTTTTCTTTTTAGTTGGTGGGTGTACAATAGGTGGAGGAGTAATAGAGTTTACACCGCTGCCACTTGAGCCATTATAGGAATATGCCGATCCACTCGAAACACTTGATGGGTTTGAAATAGATGATGATGAAGAGTTTGATTTTATAGGACTAGTTGATTCTGATTTATATAAGTTATCCTTTTGGTTATTGTGTGGTGAGGTTATGATAGGTGGAGATGTGTTTAAATTGCTATAAAAAAATTAAATTAGTATTGAATCGATTTAATTGATATTTATTTTATAAAAAACCTACTTTTCATGTGATTTTTCTTTGGATGATGATTGGAAAATTACCCATAATCTATAAAAAAAAATTTATTAAAATAATTAGAATACTTTTTTTTTTTTCTTTTTTTATTTTATTTAAAATACTTACCCAAATTTTTTAAAATGCAAACATTTGTTTGGAAAGGTTTTTGGTAGAAAAATGACCAAAACACGCATTTCATTTATTTCAATATCTATATACTGATGTATATATTGGTTTTTATTTTTATTATTTTATTTAATCAATCATAAAATAATATCTAAAAAAGGAAAGAAATATATATATATAAGTAAATTTATTTTAAAATATTATTTATATTTTTAAAAAAAGGATTATAATTATAAGCTATTATACTGTTATTATTAATTAAATTTTATAAAAAAAAAAATATAAAACAAAACAAAAAAAATATATTAAAAAAAAAAAAATGAATATATTAATTTAAAATTAGAGTGAAAGACAATGTGTATAGGAAATAATGATTTATTCTTTTTTTAATATATGTAAATACATCTATTATGTTACAAAAATAATTTTAAAAGTAATAATTAAATTTGGTTTTTTTAATTTCATGTGTGTGTGGGGTTTATATGTGTATCTGGGTGAGTATTTATTTATTTATTTATTTATGATTAGTGTTTTTAAATTACTTGTTATTTTAAAACTATGAACATATAATTTTAAAAATATAAAAAAAAACTGAAATAAAATATTGATTCTAATTAAATATAATGTGAAATAAATTAAATATAAAAAAAAAACGAAAAAAAAAAAAAAAAAAAAAAAAATAATAATAATTAATTGTTTAATGTACGTAGGTATTATTTGATTCTCCAAAATATATCATTAATTGATAAATATGTTTTTAACAAGAAATACAACAACAATAACAAAAAATAAATAACTCTACCACATTTAACAAAAAAAAAAAAAAAAAAAAAACTGTTTATATAAATTTATTCTAAATGTATGATCCAACATAACTATTCGACAGATTCCTTAGATTAATAATATAACAGTATTTTTTTATTAATGAGGATTATTTTTTTTTATATTAATATTTTGATTATTATGATTATTATTATAATAAAAATAATGATAATTATTACTACAATGCACTGTGTTATTGCATGCAAATATTAAAATAAAAATAAAAAAATATAAAGTAATGGCTGGGGATTTATTATTTTTTTTAATATTTTTTTTAATTTGGGGTGAGAAAGGGTGTTTTTTCAATTTTATTTTTATTAAGAAATTATCTACGAATAAAAAATAATTCATTGTTATGTTTAATATACAAAATTTATTTTTATAAAGAAAATTAAAAAAGATATAATAAAAAAATAATAAATAATAAAAGATGTGCACTATTTAATTTGAAAATTAAATTATGGGGATGATTAAAAGATTTAAGTGGGTGTTATTTATTTGCTTGGGTGAGAAGGTGTGTGAAATATTGTTATTGTTTTTATAATCCAAAATTTAAGTGTGTGGGTTTATGTGTTTGATTTTAATTAATTTAAAAAAATATTATGATAAAAAAATAAAAATATCAACATAACTCCAAACACATAGGTATATATAGTAAATACTCTTTTATAATAAAAACAAAAAATATTTATAGATTAAAGTTTTAAAAAATAGATACATAATCTTTTAAAAAGATTTAAATCTAAAAACTATTAATTTTAGTAAAATAAAACAAATAAAGATTTATAAATATTTACCTAATAACAATATAAATGATTTAAACCTTATTAATTTAAACCTTTTTTCGGAAACTGAACTTTTTAATAAATATAAGTTTTCTTCTATTTGTTAATTTGAAAATTGTTTTTTGATATTGATTATTTGTTTTTTTTGATAACCTTAAAATGGATAATTCAATGAATAAATGAATGGAATACTAATATATATTATTTTGACACAAGTTCCTTTAAACTATTGTTTTTATTATTATACTATAGTAGTTTTAAAAAATATAAAATATTTAATTGATTCTAATATAAATTTTAGATAAAATATTTTTTTATTTTTTTTTTTTTTTATTTTATTTTTATAGAATAAAAAATAAAATTATAAAAACATTCAAATATTTGAATGAAATAATAGGTATAAAAAATATGAATTAATATACATATATTTTTAATGGTGTTTTTTATAAATTTAAAAAAATAAAAAAGAAAAAAAAAAAACAATTGTGTGATATTTTACATTTTTTAAAAAAGAAAAAAAATAATTATTTTAAAAAAAACACCAAATTTATTATTAAAAAAAAAATAATAAATAAGAAAAAGTTTAAAAAAAAATAAAAAAAAAAAGAAATATAGAAATATTTTATAGTATTTTATTTCTTTATGAACGTAACAAACAATTTCTATGGAGACCTA